TTTCCAGTAATTGTCTTGGTTCGAGCCCCTTTTGACAGCCCTTTCGAAACAGTGAGTTGTTCTCTCTCCTGGTTCACTTTTTCCAGTGTTTGACCACAAGGTTGTGTTGTGCACACATCAGAGGCCCTCTTTCTGTGGTGGTCGGCCACTAATCACACTTGAACCTTTTGACCCCTAGCCGGTCGGCCATGGGAAGTAGCCGGCCGGCCACATGCAACCTGGGTAAGCAGCCGGCCAGAATCCTTACATCATCTACATTGCAAATATGCATCTGTTTTCCCCCCAGATTCTGTATCCGGGGGGCTGCTTTTTGGAGGGAAACTTGGTTGGTTTTCCCTCCATTTTTCCCCCCTTTCCCCCCCCCTTTTTGCCTTTATAACAAGGGCTCCAGCTCTGTTATTAGGGTTACAAAAAATCCCCTTCAAGCCTCTTGTTGTATCTCTCTCCCTCTATACACTTCAACCCTCTAACCTCTCAAGTCCTACACCCTTTTCTTCACCAACCCATAGCCCCACCCTTCCATCCTCCATTCCAGCAGCTGGAGGTTGTTCTTCAGAGCCTAAGAGTCACCAAACTCAAGCCAAGAGTTGCCTAAAGCTTGGTCTTCAAGGGTAAGCACCATTTCCTCTCTTTTTAGCTTGTTTTTGTATCCTTTCTAAGTCATATTTGCTTGCTGTTTTGGGCTCCGACCCTAACTAGAACTAGGCTTATTTTGAGCCATTTTTCATGTTTGTTTAAGGGCCTCACACTGTTTGAGGTCTCCTTGTTGCACTTGCTTCATCATCCCTCTTGTATGCCTATTCTCTGTGTAGTATTTTTGGCCTACGTGTAGACTGTTTTGAGGCATGTCATAAACTGTAAAGTTTCTTATTTTGAGCCCATCTTAACCATTGTTGAAGGGATCATTACTGTTTGAGGCTTTCATTTATCAGTTGCCTTTATATCTCTCTTTTGGCTCCATTTTTGCATGATTTGTTAGCCTCTTTTGCTTCTATTTTTGGGATCTGGTCCGAACTACAAGTGACCTTATTTTGAGCTATTTTTTATGTTTTATTAAGGGTCTTTCACTGTTTGAGGCACCCTTTATATACTTTGTGTTATATCTCTCCTTTTAGCCTTATTTTGCATAGCATTTTGAGCATTCTTGCATACTGTTTTGGGTCCGTCCATCAACTGTAAAGTGCATTATTCTTGGCCCCTCTTCAATAGTGTTGAAGGGCCCCTTTGTGTTTGAGGCCAGCAACCACCACCTGCTTCTTTGACCCTCTTTTGGCCCATTTCTTGCATGAGAGCTTAGCCATACCTGTGTTGGTTTTTGTGGTTTGTTATAAACTGTAAAACATCATATTTTGAGCCCCTCTTCAACATTGTTGAAGGGCCCTCATCTGTTTGAGGTCTGCAGCTGTGACTCACTTCTTTATCTCACATTTAGGACCGTTTTTACATGCTAGTTTTGCCCTATTTGTGTTTGCTTTTTGGCCTCGCTTAGAACTGAAAACCTGCTTTTTTTGGGGCTGCCTTGAATCTGTCTTCACATGTCATGATCAAATAATGCATGCTTGATGTAGCTACAAGTCATTTCATGTGCTTAATCTTGCATTTCGGGTCTCATTTCATGCATCGGGTGTCATTTTGCCATCTTTCGGGGCTGTCTTGCATCACTTATTGCCTCTGAAAATTGCATGCTAGTATGCCATATTCCATGCTTTGGTAGAGTGGCATTTGTGCCTTAGGATCGGTCCTCGGTTTGCGTGCATGTGTGCACGCATTTCGAATGTCTCATTTTTCATCTCATGGCCTCTTATGTGAGTGTGGCTGAGGTCCACTCACGTTGGTGTAAGCCCATATTGCATTGTGTATGCCATTTCACTTCATAGCATTGTGTATGCTAGGCCGTATGTTAGCGCATTGTGTATGCCATGTTATCTCGTGCATCATGTATGCCATTTGATAGTATTGTGCATGCTAGGTTGTATATTAGTTGCATTCATGCATGTCATGCATACTGTATTGTGTTTGGGATAGGAGTTAGCCCGAGCACGGGAAACGAGGTACGTTTCGTACTCCGAGCGACGGAACGTGTCTCAATTCCCAGTCACCGACACTCCGGATCATCCATGATGGAGTTAGGTTTTAGTTGAGTTTTCATGTGCATTCATTCTATATTGAGTAATGCAAATCGACTCCTCGGCCATCATGCATCGATATGCGTGATTGGTGGCACGAGGATCGAGGCATGTATACATTTGTGCAAATACATTGCCATGCCCCTTTCCTGCTCTCTGTTGCAGCAAATCAAGAATCAGCAGTCTTCCGGGGCTTGGCGCGCTTTCCAAAAAGTTATTGCGAAACAGAGGCTAATTGGGGCATGGCAGTGGATTTCTGCACCAAAGCAACCCAGACATGCATCATTCATCCTCCGAAGCAGAGTCGAGGCAGTCCCTAGCTTGCATGCAAGTTTAGAGCTTACCTAGTTTAATTTGTTAATTAATTAGGATTTTGTAATTATTTGGACTGTAATATTTATTCGGGACTGTATATTATTTATTCGGACCCTCTGCGCGAGGGCACAACTGTAATAAGTGTGCGTGTGTGTGATGTATGTTTTCCAACCCCACGTCTTTCTCCATTTTATTTACCAACTTATGATGGTTAGATTAGGGCATGTTTCAATTAGCATACAGTATGATAGCATGTTTGCATTCATTCATCTGTTTTGCATGCACCGGGCTCGACGCATCATACTAACTGCATTGTATTTTCAATTCCAAATTGAATACATGTTAGTGGTCGTAGCCATTTTTGCCGGTTTGGGTCCGGTTTCCGGTTTTTTTATTTCGAAGCGGTTGGCGCGTCGGTGGCCTAGGTCTTCGTCGACGGTCAAAAAACCGCTTAACCAACCTCTGGCCCCGGTTTTTTTGGCATACCTCTTCTATTTGCTTCCCTTTTTGAGGGACACTGTTGGTCCGAGAGACTTGACTTCGTGGTCGACCTACACTCACTTCCCAAGGTGCTAACAGCCCAATTTTTGGGAGACCCCCGAATTGCGCGTTTCGGCCCCCGAACCTTCTTTTTGACATTGGCTCTTGGTTCATTTTTGGCAGGGCCTCTGTTTCATTGGTAAGAAAGGGCCGTAGAAGGGTGGGAGGCAGTGAATTGTTCTGTCAGCCACGTTATCCTCATCGCCCTCCGTCGCCCGATTTTCCTCACTTTCAAGCCAATGTTGAACACCCTTGGGCCATTTTCTTGAACCCTAAACCCATATTTTGTGATGTACCATGCTGGGAAGGCCACCAATATTTTGGTGCCGGTTTCCAGTAATTGTCTTGGTTCGAGCCCCTTTTGACAGCCCTTTCGAAACAGTGAGTTGTTCTCTTCTCCTGGTTCACTTCTTTCCATGTGTTTGACCACAAGGTTGTGTTGTGCACACAGGGTAGAGGCCCCTCTTTCTGTGGTCGGCCGGCCACTAACATACCCACTAATCTTGAACCTTTTTGACCCCTACGCCGGCTGACCATGCGGAAGTAATCCGGTGAGCGCGGTTAGCTCGGACCTGCAACCTGGGTTAAGCAGCCGGCCAGAATCTACATCATCATCATACAAAGATAGCAAATATCCATCTCGCTCTCTTCCCGCCTAGGTTCTGTATCCTGGGGGCTGCTTAAAACAACTTGCGTGAGACGTTGGAAAACGCGTATAGGGCACAGATCTGAGGGAGAAAATGGTTTGGGAAGCTAGAGAGGAGGATTTCGGAGCTGCACTTATGAGCTCAAAGTGTTTGGATAAGTGTATTTATAGAAAAGAGGCTAAAAGGACAAAATTGCCCCCGGATTTGGCAAAGTGGCCGGCCGGCCACTTTTTCTGGCAGGCCGGCCATTTCCTTTTCAAAAAATGGTCGGTGGTCTCCCTCTCCCAATAAAACTAGCCGGTGGTGTTCCCCACATGCCCTCCAAGGTCCCTGCAAATTTTGAGGAAGATTGGAGTCCCCGAGACCTAGAAAAGTACAAGAGAAGTACACTTTCTGTCGCGAAGTCGCTCCGCCGGACCTTCAGCTTCAACTTCTAATGCATGTCTCATCGTTTACTCATCGAAAGTGAGATGTATCCGTTTGAACATGTTGCAACCTCTCCGGGAGGTGGATCGGAGGCCGCGATCGAGTCGCCCTCGCCGAAACGCGCGTTTCTCCCCGCATTGTGATGCACTTTTCTATCAACACCGTGATCATCTGCATTTGATATCACATTGAACGTATGCTGTTAGATATGTTGTGCTTGTTGAGTTTCTTTATTTTGCAGGCACGATATTGTATGTACAGTTCATTTGAGGCTGGTGCGACCAGACGAATCGCGCAGGTATCGTATCTTCTCCGTGTGAGACGCGACGAGAATTGAATAATTCTCTGCATTCTTAACTGCATGAAATGTAATCGTTGCTTTGCATTCTTGCTTAAAACTGTTGCATCTATTTGCGAATACTTGCTTCATTACAGCTTACTGCATTTACACGATCATTGAGTTACCTTCGGCTTCTTGCATTGTCAGTTGCATTTTGCCCCTGCCTATGGGCACATCTGTGTTATTCTGCATGTTTGTCTAAGTCTTCGGCCTTGTCAAAAATGGGTCGTCTCTGGGCTTTAACATTCACTCCCGTCACTTATGATTTTCGAGTTCTGTCAAAGAAGGGCAACTGTAGACACCCCATTTTTGACCGACCTTGAGACTCAGACGTCACCAGCTGAGCGCTCGGTGATACTGCATATTGTGCTCGTTTAGAAATTTCATAGTCTTGGCCGTGAGCCTTGCCTCCGAGCTTCCGGACTCTTTTGTGCTTTGCCTCGGTTTACGAACCAGGCTCGATTTTCTCTGTTTTCTCTTCGCGAAGGGAGGGAGAGGTCCCGTAGATCATCTCTCAGTGGCCGTAGGCTACGTTTCTTGAGGAATACCCTATTGCATTAATGAGTTAACGAACATGTGATTTTTACTTTGCAAAGATTTTTCTTTTTTCCAAGGAGTTAAAAGTGTCATGCTTTTTGGGTGAACTGTGTCTTGGGACATCACAGAACAGCCAAACTTCTTTTGCTGCATTTAAGGCCGGAAAGTGTAGAGTAACTGACACTTTCTAAGTATTTGAGGTCTTTAATTGCTGTTCTAAGAAGTCATCTATTGCATTAATGATCTTCCCAATTATATTTCTGGAGTTATATTGATTACTTATTGATTGTTGGTTGGTTTTGGTAGTTAGTTGAGTTGAGTCAGTGTCTCCTCCAACACAACATCGGCCTCTATTACAGAACCAGGTTTCTTTCTAAATTGGGAGCTTTGAGGATCTTGGGTTGGTCTTCTCATGGCACATATTGGTGGGCATCATTTCTCTGGAGGGTCTCTATCAGGTTTGAGATTTTTATGTATTCAAATTAAATCCTATCATATGATTTTGCAATTAGTTGGAGTGTTTAATATCCCAATGGTGGTGGTTTATTGCTTATTGTTTGTGCCCACTTCACTACCAATTATGATCTGTTTATAAATATTAGGCCATTATGATGGCCACTTCAATTCCAAATTTGATGTCTACTATTTCCGTGGTTGTGTGTTTCGTACTCCTCTTGCTTCCATATCTACACTTGAAAATTTGGGGTAACTTCACTGTTTTTATGCTTAATGGGCCAACTGGTAACTTGTTATTCTGTGTTTTTCCTTTGAATTATCTTCGGTCAATCTACATTGTCCTTTGTAATTTAAAGTAACTATCTAAAAGGTAATTGATTGTAATATTTTTTCATTTGAAATTATTCGTGTTCGGCTACACATGTGAAGCAATAGATGTAGTGTTTGTTTTATTTTTTTGTGGGTTTTGGATTGGGTTTACACGTAATTGTTTTTGTCGGTACTCGAAGGGGTTATTTTGGTCGACACGTTGTGTGATTGTCGGTACTCAAAAGTTTGCAAAATTAGAATTTTGAAGTGGCTTTCCAGCTTTTTTTTTCTTTTTGGGGTGGAGGTGGGAAAGATGGGGCAACTGTATTTGTATTCATTCCCTTATCTAGTTTTAATGTGTTACGTAACGGATAAAATTCAAAACTATGATTATTGGATTGAACATTTTTGCCGACAAGTGTGCAAACATATTTCTGAAATTAATGGAGCATTTTGTGCTTTAAAAAATAGTTACTGAGGAACTTGAGCATTTCCAACAAGCCTGAATTAAAGGGAAAGACAACAAGCATATGCATTATTATTTTATTGATTAGGATTAGTGGGGAGGGGGGTGTCAGGATGCACTTTAGACATTTATTTGCTTGTATAAATATAAATATATGGGAACATGAATGTTAATTATCAATTGCATTGATGACAATCTATTGATTATGTATATTATGAACTCAATGCTGCAGTCACAGTGAGATTCACAGTTTAAAGATTTGAAACCTTAAATATGTTGTGTCACTGTAGAATTAATTGAAGGCATAGACCTCTCGGCAATATTTTGAAACCAGATTAGACCGGCTAGTTCAACCAATGAACCCATTCGCTAGTCATGTTTTTGGACGGTAAAATATGTGTTTGCAAAAACCGGCAAAACACATGTTCCAGCCGGTGAAGTGAACCACCATAGCACCACATTCCTTTGAACACATTGGTAATATAAATTATTTGTTACATTAACTTCATTTTCCATTAAACACAAGATTAATTAACGTTCTATGTATGTATAAATTTATGTATTTGGTTAACATATTTACATAAATATGTGTATCCTAAAATGTAAAAGTAGTTTAAATAAATGTTTCTTCTTTATTTTTTATTTTTTATTTAAATATATTTTTCTTGTTTTCAACTCATCCATCCTTTTCAGTTTAATGTGAAAGTTACAGGACTTGGCCTTGTAATACATCAGTTTCTTATCCAACAAGAAATGCAGAAAGGCAGGGCTTAAAACATATCCACTTTTTATATGGTTTCTTGCTATGTTGTATGGAGTAATCTCTAGCATGTATAGTTAAACTATTTATGGAGGGTGATTGGAAGACCATCTTACATCTTTCTTTTATTCTTTTGTTTTTTGGCTATCAAGATACAAATCTATTTATAAAAAGGACCACAAAAATTTGGAGATAAATTGTTCTGGACTGATAATTTGGGCATTCACTCAATTCCCTTTAGTTATGTTTAGTTCTACATGCATCCTTTATTTGTCTCACTTGAGTCTTGCATTTTTTGTATGCCAATTGTTTGGTCTTGGTTCTGGGTTTTGTGAATGCTTACTGTTATATCTAAACTTGGACCACGAGTGGCATGATTTATATGGTCACATGCATATTCCTGGTGCTTGTAAAATTTATCTAACTTATCTGCAGTCATCTCTGAACGGATCAGCTTCAAATCTTCCAGACAGTACTGGGCGTTCTTTTGCTACATCTTTTCCTGCTCAATCTGGTGCAGCCTCCCCTGTTTTTCATCACACAGGTGAGTTGATTTTGCTGAGTATTGCTCTATATTTTCCATCAAATTTTATATAATATAGAAATTTCCTTTTACAGGAACTATTCAAAGGCTACATAACCTTCATGAGAGCTTTAATGTTCCCAACATGCCTGGCACACTTGCATTTAGAAACTCTACAATAAATAATGTTCCTTCTAGTTGGGTTCAACAGCCTACTGGAAGCCTTTCTAGTGGACGTTTTGCATCAAACAATCTCCATGTTGCTCTTTCTCAGGTATGTGTTAGTTTTGCACATATTTATTAGTTGGTATTTTTCATTCACTGGTGTTTCACTATGTTTGCTAAATTAATTTCTTTCCTGATCTCTACCCAATTGTGTATTGTTTTGTATTGCAGATATCCTATGGAAGCTCACATGGTCATTTAGGGGTGACAAATAGAGGTGGAATGAGTGGTGTTAGTAGCCCTGGATTTAGAAGTAACGCAAATGGAGTTGGTGGTTCCATTCCTGGAATCATGAGGGAAATTCTTGTTTTTGATTTACGTTATTTTGAATTGTGAACAACATTATGTATTTAAACATTGTGTATGTATTATGCAATATTATGTAGTGGGATAATTTTGCTAATGTGTTGTAATGAATGAATGCAAGAATACTTGTATTATGAATGGATTGTTATTTTTATACTGGAATTTTTATATTATTATGTAATTATTGATTTCCTTTTCAATTATTTTTTATTTAATACAGGTAATTTTCATATTTTTAATAATTTTATTGTAGTTTTTTTTTTTTTTTGAGACGGCACCACATCGCCGTTGCAAATGATATTGGTAGAGTTGAGACAAAAGTTTTTTGCGATGGTATTCTTTGCCGTCGCAAATAATCGACGCATCGTGCTGTCCCAACTATTTTTTTAGCGACGGCATTATTCCGTCGCAATAAAAATTCTTTGGCGACGGTATTTTTTGCCGGTCTCAAAAAAATTCAGATTTTTTTCATATTAATGGCGACGGAAAAATGCCGTCGCAAAAAGACAACTTTGCCGTCACAAAAAAAAGGCGACGGCAACATGCCATTGCTAAAACCTTTTTGCGACCCCCTTTGTTGCGACCCCCCACTTGCCGTCGCTAAAAGTCATCTGCCGTCGCAAAAAACCTTTTGAGTATTTGCGACGGCATTTTGTCGTTGCAAAAAGTCAATTTTTTTGTAGTGTACCCTACCAAAACTCACCATCATCATCAACATCAATATCATTGTTTTTTATTATTTTGAAATCCTAAACCCTAGAAAAAGTTTGAACAATATCAAATAATGATGGGAGTAATAATCAAAATAGTTTTTTGAAGTAACTGATTAAAAATGAGGTAAATATTCATATAAAGGGGTTTCACAATTTTTGTAGAGCACCATCAATTATTTTTTATATCATTTTTTTGGCAAAAATTAAAGGGCCCAGTAATTAAATTAACAATAACATATTATTGAAATTGTTCTTATTTTATTGTTTAAATTGATAACTACTTTTTGTTATTAGTGCCCAATGCTTATGTGCTTATAAGTTTGGTTTTTACTTTTCCACGAGCATTCTTGTGGATAATTTATAATGTAAAAGTTTGGTTTTTCTGTATTTATAATACTTATGTGCTTATGTACTTATAAGTTTGATTTTTTTTTTCTGTATTTGAAAATTATTTTCTGTGTTGAAAAAATTTGAAATAATTTAGTTTGTTTATTATTTATTATTTGGGTTTACTTTGAAGGTAATTTGAAAAAAATAATAAAGTGTAATGAGAGTAAAATAAAATTTTAAATAATTAAGTAAGGTATATTTAAAAATTAGGAGCACTTATTTTTTTTTTTTTTATAGTGTAAATAAAATCCCATTTATTTACTAATTTATTGTACACCATTTTTGGCTTTTAAAAGTTGGTTCATTTTCCAAGTAATGGCATCAAGTTTGAATGGATTAACAGTTAGGCCTTGATTGTTTTGCCTTTTAGATGGTGGGATTGGAATAATAATCTCATGGATCTTATAAAATTCAAATTTGATTTTGCTATATTGTCACGATCCAAACCCGTCCCTATGGGTTTAACACCGTAACCGGCCAGTAATCCGAGATTACCGAAGGCCTGCTTAACAGTAATACAGTAATACAGAGTACAGGGGCTGACGGAAGCCAATACAGTAATCAAACAATGTCCAATAAGCTGTGACAGTCTGTATGCAAAAAAACTTTTTATTCAAATATAGATACAGTCAGACAAAACAGTATGTACAACTATACAATCATTCAGTTCAGGGACCAAATCCCTATCAAACAGTACAGTAACAGTCTATGCAGTCGCACAAAACAGATACAGAGATAGAAGGGGGAACTAAACACCCCTAAGCCATAACTTGACAGGCCCGGAACCTCGCATTGAGGCACATAGGTTGGCTCAACAAAACTGGAGTTTACCCCGACGCTTCTAGCTGCAGTCTGGTGCCTGTACACCTACATATATATATGAGCAGTGAGCTAAAGCCCAGTAAATAACGCAATGCGTAAAGGGGTTAAAAATGAATGTCCCTACAGTAATGAAAACGGTTCATTTAATCAATATTGCAGTCATTCAGTCAGTACAGTCATATGTGGTACATCCATTAGCATAACAGTACAGTAAACAGTAGGTCTTAAAGACCGAACAGTACATGATGGCCATCAGTCAGTAACAGTAGTGATTCTAACAAGGAAACCGACAGAGATCTCTGTAGCAGCATCAGTAAACAGTAGGTGCTAAGGATGCCACAATACAGTTCAGAATATAGGACATACATTCATTCAGTTAACAGTAATCAGTTCAGAAAGCAGTACAGTTTAATTGTTCAGAAGATAATCATTTTGAACATATCTTTACACAGATGTTACTTACAGAGTTCTGGACTACAGTAAAGCTAGAGCGTGTCCCCAGTCGCCAACCCTACACAGTTACAGATTAACACACACTAAGCTACACAGTTGGGAAAGATAATAGCTTAATCCCTAATGCCTCGGTGTGTTTCTACATCTATATCCTCCTTAAGATGCCTTAAACTAGGCCTAAGACTGTCTAAAATGAGATGAGGATGCAAAGATGCACTTGAAAAAGCATTTCCAGACTTTTCAGAAAACAGGGGGCACGCTCGAGCGTAGGTTACTCCGCTCGAGCGGACATGCAGACAAGGGTTTCCGCTCGAGCGTATACCTACCCGCTCAAGCGTTCTGCAAAACAGTCAAAAGTGCTAGATAAGTGAAAATCACGCTCGATTGGGCGCTCGACACCCGCTTGAGCATGAGACACAATGTCCCGCTCGAGCGTCAATTAATCCGCTCGAGCGGACTTCAAAACAGAACAAAAATGCTGGGAGCACGATTTCCACGCTCGAGCGCCAGCCACCCTACTCGAGCGTGAGTCCAAATTCTGGAAATTCCAGATTCTAACCTCAAGCTCAAAACCAAGTTTTTAAAACATAAATTTCGATCCTCTTGGGCCAATTTTCCAGAAAACACATCAAAACTCATAGTTTAACATGATTCAAAACTCAATTTTGCAAAATCAAAGCCCAATGGTGTTTCAAATAAATCCAATTCAGACCAATTTCCAAGAATATGAAAAGCATGCAAACATGCATGAATTCAAACCAAATTTCAAAGCTTCAAAACATGCTCTAGAGAGCCAACTGTTCCAAAAATAAGATGAAAACATGGACTACTCTCAAAACACATGCATGTGAGGAATATGAACTACAACCTCAAAACTTCAATATATATACATGCATGCAACAATTAAGCTACAATTCAACAAGTAAGAGCCATAACTTGGCTCAAGGCTTCAATTTGCTGTAAAACATGCAAGAATTTACTTAAATTCCACAATCAAAAGGTTGAAAGAGGGTAATTACACTACCTTAGGTCTTGGATGCAAGATATACAAGCTCAAATATGCACTCAATCCTTCAATTCCTTCAAATTTCCAAGCAAAATTCAAGATGAAGCTAAGTTTCTCTACCTCTCTCTCTCAAGTCGGCAAGAACAAGGAGAATGGACTGATGAAATGTTTGATTCAATGTGTATACAAGTCACAAAATGTGCAAAGTAATGGCCACTAAGTGGTCTAATTGTAAATAAGTTCAATTCATGTCATTTGGTACCATTTAATCTAATTTAATCATACCTAATCTGTCACGACCCAAACCCGGCCCTATGGGTTTAGCACCGTAACCGGCCAGTAATCCGAGATTACCGACGGCCTGCAGAACAGTAGAACAGTAAAACAGAGTACAGGGCCTGGCGGAAGCCAAAACAGTAAATAAACAATGTCCAATGAGCTGTGACAGTCTGTATGCAAACAAATGTTTAGATGATGGGCCACTTAAGTGGCAAAATTGTGAATAAAGCCAACTTACAATTTATCAATAATTAATTTAATTTAATCGTACCAAATCACATTTAAGATAAATACACCATAAAATCACATTAATTCTAAGGATCATAGAACACTAATCGGTTTCCGGTTCGGCCGCCGATAAGGCCTTCAATTAGCAGTTCAAACATAAAAACACAAACAGATAATCAAACAATCAAACAGATAGACATACAATCGAACAGATATACTCAGTCAATTCAGTTTCAATTTCAGTCAGTCAGTTCAGTAGTTTATTCAGTTCACTTATCAGTCATAATCAGTTCAGGTTAACGGTAATCAGTAGTTTATCGGTAAACAGTAACGAGGGTTGTTACACATTTCCACATCCTGAAGAAGGTAACACATTGCTTTGAAAATATTTTGGTACATAATATTTGGGAAAACATCGTTAATTAAAAATTAAACACAACATTCAATTAACAGTATCAGTTCAGAAAGCAGTGCAGTTCAGTCGTTCAGAAAATAATCATTTGTGAACATATCTTTACACAATCGTTACTCACAGAGTTTGGGCTACAGTATGCTAGAGCGTGCCTCCCCAGTCGCCAGCCCTACACAGTTAACAGAGTGAACACACTAAGCTACACAGCTGGGAAAGATAGTAACTTAATCCCTAAATGCCTCGGTGTGTTCTACATCTCTATCCTCAATAAGACGCCTTAAACTAGGCCTAAGAATGCCTAGAATGGGATGAGGATGCAAAGATGTACTCAAAAAGCAGTTTTAGAAGTTTCAGAAAAACAGAGTCCCGCTCGAGCGCGGTTTTACCTGCTCGAGCGGACATGCAGCAAGGTACACGCTCGAGCGTCAACTTTCCCACTCGAGCGTACTGTAAAAGTACTGGATGGGTGAAATCTCCGCTCGACGGACGCTCGGCGCCCGCTCGATCGTGAGACACATGCCTCCGCTCGAGCGCCCAATCCTCCGCTCGAGCGGACTGTAAAACAATGCAGAGAAATACTGGATGCTCGGATTCCACGCTCGAGCGCCACTTTC